TGAGTGGCTGTGTAATCTGGTTGCAAGAGGTGATCTGATCTGGTATGAAGAGGTGTAAGGCAGACACCTTATGTCCTGCTCTCTCATTGTAGGTGCTACAGAAGAGGATGGAGGGGATGGCGTCTGCAGCGTGGGTTCGTTGTCTCTTTACCAGGTCGAGAATTCCAGACTCGGTATGTGCTTCAGTAGCTGAGAAACTGAAAAATAGGTATTACTCTGCTTAATTCTGTGCTTTCTGTGGTATGACAGATTTCTGTAGACTACGAGATGAGCAGGTGCGCAGTATGCTGAGAGACGAACTGGCTGAATGGCAGGGCTCAAAGGGTTGTGGTGAATGGGGCTGCATCTGGCTGGTGACCAGTCACCAGCAGCGTTCCTTGGGGCTCGGTCCCAGGGCCAGTTCTGTTCAGTATCTTTATCAACAATCAGGCTGCAGAAATGGAATGCACCATTAGCAAGTTTGGTGACAATACCAAACAGGGAGGTTCTGTTGACTCTCAAGGAATGAGAGGCCTTGCAGAGGGATCTAGATAGATTGGAGCATTGGGCAGTGATTAATGACATGACATTTAACAAGAAGAAATGCCAGATTGTGCACATAGCATGGAGCAATGCCAAGCACAAGTATAAACTGGAAGAGGAGTGGCTGGAGAGCAGCCCTGCAGAAAGGGATCTGGGGGTGCTGGTTGACAGCAGGCTCAATGTGAGCAGCAGTGTGCCATGGTAGCCCAGTAGGCAAACCTCATCCTGAGGTGCATCAAACACAGTATAACCAGCCAGTCAAAAGAAGTTATTATCCTGCTGTATTCAGCATTGGTGCAGCCTCACTTTGAGTGCCGTATGCAGCTCTGCCCCCCACAATTTAAGAAGCATGTTAAAGGTACTTAAGTGTGTCCAAGGGGCGGCAACAAAGCTGGTGAAAGGGATGTCCTGTGAGAAGTGGCTAAAGACCCTGGGTTTGTCTAGTTTGGAGAACAGGAGGATGCATGTGAATTAAGTGCTGTGCTGGTATAGTGTTGTCCATGTATTTCTTTGCAGTTGTACAGCCAAACTCAAGAGTGCAAACCATTATATAAAAATGTTTGATTTAGTGTTACAAAAGCTAAATTTGACGTACCTTGTTAGTGCTTTGACCTTCTAAAAAGAGAGGTAGCTAATCATGTAAGAATTTTTACCAATGTTAATGTATGTTTTGGAGATTTATTAACTATAATAATAATTCAGATATTTAGGGAAAAACCCTCTGTTTTTGTGAACTTGTTATTCTAGGTATTTCAGCCACGGTCTGGAGATCATGAAAAGTATGGAGGTGACCCTGAGCAGCCCCACAAAATCCACGTTGTTACTAGAATAAAAAGTGTAGTTGGTCGCCCATATTGGGAAAAGAAGATAATACATGATCTTGGACTGGATAAAGTATGATTATTGTTCTTTATACTTATAGTGTACATCAGAAAGGTAGAAACATAGGGTAGAATTAAGGTGGTGGGTTTTTTTGCAGTCACAAAACTCAGTTTGCTTTACAGCTGCTGTAAATGTAATTCAGAAATTGATGTGTTTAAGAGCTGAGAGGAACATTAGTGGCAAATGCCCATTTGGTGGGAATTCAGAATACCAATGTATGGTATTGCTATGCATGCCTGAGAAGAACCTTACCTTGAGAATTCTGCTAAAATAATAAAAGTAGATTTGTAAATTCATTGAATTCAGTTTTCTCTGTGGGTCATATTATTCAGATATTGCAGGTAGGCAAAAAAGACTCGCTTATTAATGAAGAAACTTCTAAGTCTGAGAAGGATGGTAAATTTTCAATCAGACTCTTAAGAGTTTGTGTCAAAAATGTGTTCATCCAAAATTTTTAACAGTTGGAAGAAATTTGAATATATTTTAATGGTCACCATTAAATTAATTTTTCATTTTACTGGAATCAAGAGTTTGATCAAGTTGTGATTTTCTATTTTTATTTATGTTCTTGATGAATAATTATTTCTCTAAATCTTATATTTGTAAATATGGTTTATATTTTTACTGATATTGTGAAAAGTTCAGTGAACACAGGTTTGGGGTGTGGCAATGCATTTGTAAAACCTATTCTATCCTTTATATAGGCACATCAGCCAAGACTGCACAAAAATATCCCTTCTGTGAATTCCAAACTGAAAGCTGTTAAACATCTGATAAGGTTTGTTAACTATTTGTTTGATTTGGAACAGTTAATGTAACTCACTTCTAGTCATAGGACTTCACTAAGCAAACTCTTTTGCCTGTAGGATACAGCCGCTGAAACTGCCTCATGGGTTGCCAACAGAAGAGGAAATGTCAGACACCTTTCTTACGAGCAAGGGAGAGCTTGTCATTAAAAGGCATCTGAAACCTGTGGAGCAGAAAGAAATTAAGTCATAAAGTGTACTGGTTTGATTTCTGGTTTATAAAATAAATAATTTAACTCCTGAGTTAAGAGTTTATGTATGAAATGTAAGCTTAATTCTTACCCTGTTTGGTATGAGTGGCGGAGGTGAGACTGATGCTTAAAGAGGGATTAGATGAATACAAATATAAAATTCAGTGCTGGTAACATTTGCCTGAAATATTAAATGAATTATAGGCTTTCTGTCCTTGTGTTTTAATCTTGTGGCTAGATCACTGCAGTTTGTGGCTAGCTATTACAGAACTTTAAAAATAAAGACACATAAGCAGAGAAGGAAGCAGACTAGATGTAACTAATGATGGTGAGGATATTTCTGAGCTATCAGTAAAGGTTTACAATGATGGTACATGACTTCACCTTTACTGCACGGAGGAAGGAACTGGAATTGAAAAGCCTTCTGTTTACCACTTACATGGGAAGCAACTGGCGATCTACTGGGAGTGTCATTTGATTGGGGCAGGTGTTTGGATGGTTTACATTGGTCATCCAGTTCTCATGCTTGTTGCTTAGCAAACAGTCTGTCATCTGGCCTCCTCTGTAGCTTAAAAAGTACCTAAACTCCCCATTTGGTAGTAAGAGAAGGAGCGATTTACATCTTGGTACGTTGTATAATTGTCTTTCAGTTAAACATGCTATCTCACTTTATATGTATTTCTTGATCCTAAATGTTTAATAGGAATAGCCTAAAAGCTGCAGTCTGTATGAAAGTTGAGGCTTTTCCTGTTCTAAAACTGCAAACTTCAGAAATCTGGAGACTCTTTGATGCAAGTTAGTAATTATGGGCTGCAAGTTCATAAAATAACACCTTTCTTGAATAGTACTGCATGCATATTTTTATTTACAGTTTTAAGAACTGTGGCCAAAGTTAGGAAGCTGCCACTGTATCAAATAATAAAGTAGTTTTCATTCCCATGAGCGTAAATTTCATAGTTTGCCACACTGTGAGCCTCTCCCACACTAGACACACTGTAGAAGAGTTAATCTTTATGACTGTATGTTGTGAGAAGATCAGAGGGATACAGTGGCTGAAAATGAGAGTTTATCTTCTCTACAAGCATGCAGAGAAGATAAACACCAGTAGGAGTTCAAAGGAACGGCCGTATCAGTAGAGGGACATAAAAGCTGGAGACGCTGTGAAGGAGAAAGAAAAAGAACAGTAGGCTATGGTAGTAGCATTGAAGACTGTAATGGCTCCTACGGGCAGCCTGAAGGCAGAAACATTAAATTGAGCTGAAAAACTTAAATTTCTCAACAAGCTACAGGCTGTAGTTGGAAGGACACAGAAAATACTGGTGTCAGTCTAAAGTATATAGAATAGCAAGGAAAAAGTGAAGCAGATAAATGAATGTTGCTTTTCTTCCCTCCCTCCTTCCTTCCAGTGCCTGCATAGCATCTTGTGCTGCAGTCTCTGTGTTCCATGTTCCCACAGGGAACCACTTGGTAAAGCTGAGATTTCAGCCCTGTTGAAGGACATGTGTAGTGCCTCCAAGGTACAGAGCATGATTAAAAAGAGATGGCACAAGTACTAGAGCCCAGAAGATTAGGCAAATAGGTCTTGTTGCTGAAAGACAGCAAATATAAGTCTTGTACCAGGCTTGATGGCCTGGAGCATCAAAGCCAGGATCACTCAACCTTACCAAGCACGTTCAGGATTTGTGTCCATGGCACTGCAGCCTGGTGAGTCTCCAACAGAGGGAGTGCTGCCAGTACAGAGTATGTGCATGAATATAGATCTTCTATTCATTACACTGTACAGATGCTACAACCTTCAAAAGTAATGCAATGTAAACCGGAAAGAGT